AACAGAGGGTGATTTAGACCATAGAAGCAGATAAGGCTCCAGGGCTAGATATACAATGCTCATATCAAAACAACCAAGGCATACTGGCCGTACCAGCAATTACAATAGCACACAAAGACCTTTAACGTGAGAGGGAACTGAGACAGTATCTACTTCAGAAGCAAGTAAGGCTGTGAAAGAAGAAATAGAAGCTCTGTCCAGAAATAAAATTTGGACACTCACAGAGCTATCTACAAGAATGATTTGTGCGGACAACCTACCTACTTGAAGAAACCCAAGAAGATGTCCACATGGAGCAGCCTCCTGGACTGAAAAAAACTAAGAGACAATTCACTTATATACAAATTTCAGAAAAGCATCTATGGCCTGAAGCAAGCAGCAAAAACATGAAATGGGAAGCCAGACAAGATATTTGTCAAACAAGGCTTCACACAAAGCCAAGCTGACAAAGTACAGAAATGACAGATGGACGGAGATTCTGACATATATAGATAACTTGGTTCTAGCCTATGAAACGTGAAGTTGATTGTGATGGAGTCCTACACTTTCCGAATAAATAGACTGACATGAAAAGACTAGGAGAAATTACCTACAGCCTTATTATCTTGGAATCTAAAAAGAAGGGGAGGAAGCTGGAAGCTGTCTTCTCAGTCAGAAACAAAAGATTAATGGACTCCTAGAATATCTACGACTTAGAAATTCTTATGCAGCGGCCACACTCATGGAAACAGACCACTTCAAGAAAAATGAACAATGTGATTTTTTTTGCCACAGAATAACTAATACTGTACCACAATACAGAACTGCTATAGGAAAGTTACTGTCCCTATGGCATAAGATCCGGCACAGCAACAGCAGCTGGAATCTTGTACAGAAAAAAAAGACACTCACTAAGCAAGAGAGCCCAGTGTGGAGTGAAAAAAGAAGCCAGACATGTAAATGTCACTGCACACCTAAAGCTGCAAGCCAGTTTAGTGATTTACAGAGATGCAGATTGGGCCAATTGCGCCCCTCTACTTGTGGGAACCTGATCTTCTGTGTGGGATGGAACAGTTTGCTGGAGAAGCAAGAAACGAAAGATAGAACATGCGTTATCTGCCCAAGGAATTCTTTCAACATTATTTCAGTTTATGACAGTTATTTAGCTATGCCATGTAGTTGAAGATCTGGATATGGTTGAATCAAAGCTGATACAAATTATGGAAGACAAACGAAGTTTAATGAAAACTCCTGCAGGCTCAGAAGGTAAACACATGCACAAAGCCTACTGATGTGGCGTATCAAATTACTAGAAGATATATGACAGAAAGGTCTTATTGAGGTAGCTGTCTTCATTTTCTGTAAGCGATCCCTTGTAGATTGTTGCCCTAGATCAATTCATCTACAGTTTTTCCTTTCACTCTCCCATTAATTCCTTCTAATTCATACTGAAAAAGTCACCTTACTACCTTGGTGCACTTTGCTGACATAGCTAGCACAACACCTTACTAAATTCATTGTCAGGATAAGAAGATAGCTGGCTCTATCCTCTCTGTCATAATCTTTGTCATCTTCCCTCTGTGGATTCAGAAAACTAGAAAAATCAGCAATCTGGATTACACAGATTCCCCACCTACAAGAGATTGTCTTCTTCATGAAGTCAAGGGAGTTTTCACTGTGGAGTTCCTATTTGCTAGGAGGTTGCATTCCATGACCCTTGGGGTCTTTTCCAGCGCTACAGTTCTATGATTGTAGGGTTAATGCTCCATATGAAAAGAAAGGAAGAAACACAAATAGGGCTAGTCTGTTCTTCCTCTGTGTATATTTATGCTGATCCGATCACACAGTGCCTGAATAGGTTTTTAAATACTGTACTCTTGTTTCTCAGAAAGAAACATTCCTTTGACCCCCCCCCCTTTTTTTGGACCTTCCACCTCAAACAAGGACAATTTCTCTACATATTGTCCAAATATTTTCTGCTGTTTTCTCCCTGGAATGACACTGCACTCAGATGACACAAAATGTTTTGCCACAAAATTGGCATAATGCACCATCCTCAGTTCCACTGCTTGTGCTAAGGAGGAAAATACTGGGAAGTCATTTTAATTCAGCTCTTTTTAAGCTAAACTTCAGAATACCCTTCCTGATGGAGGTTTAATATGACAAAGGGTGGGACGTCTCGGCATAGAGAATTCTGGAAAGATGTGGAGCAGGGAATGGTATCCATGCTGGATGATCTGAACCGTTTATTATCCGAATACACCTGATCAGATTGAGATGTTGGAAAAGCACAGTTAAATATGAAAATACTTAGGTATGCTTGATTACTCTGAGAATTGCTTATATTTCATCCTGAAAGCAGAACTCTGCATATATAAACAAGTTACCATTTAATTTTGATATATGAAGGCAGTATGGCATAAATCTCAGAGAGAGGTGCAATTTTTCTTAGCATTCAGCCTCAAAATACATATCTGTCATTATTAATGGTATAGCTGCATATTGGTGATTTAATATTTTACATTAAATTAATGCTTCTATTTTTTAAATTTAATCACTACACAGTTCTGCATATAAAATAGGTTTTAGAATAGCCATATATTCCCATATCATTAGAATGTTCACTAGTATTTCTTTTCAAAATTCTGGAGAATGAGTTATGGCTGCATTCAATGAAAGATGAAAATGTGTTCCTCTGTGAGTTTTATGCTGCAATTCTGCACGTGTCTCCACAGAAGTGCATCCCATTAAATTCAGTGTGTTTACCCAGGAGTTTAATGTATGTTGATTCCTTCCAACAACTTCAGCTTCATTTAATCTACTTTTTCTAAGTATCTGATTCAGCCTGGGAATTCAACTTCAATTGCATCATGTTTGTGTGTCTTTGTGTTCTTTGATTCCTTTAAACAAAGGTTAGGAACTCTCTGTGTCCCTGTTCCTGGCCCACCAACCACCACCAATAATTATGATAATAGAAAAGGGAAAAGTTACAGAACTCTACATCAATTAATATCCAAATTATAAATTTTCAAACACTAACTGCCATCTGTGCATTGCTTCATAAGAAGCAATGGGTTCAGGTAAGAACAATGAGGCAAACATAACTGTGAATGTTGACATTATTTGATTTGCTATATAATGCTTTCCATATTTTCTGGAAAATGTGATTCTGCAGGCTTATTAACGTGAACACTCAGCATGGTTTTTGCTGAATACTGACATTACTGAATCATAATTGTTTAAGGAAATCCCATGGTGATTCATCCAGTATCTTAGAACTGCTCCACATTCTATGTAGAAAAACGTGGCAGATGGAGGTTTGGCTAAAATTTCCTCTCTAATGTGCTAGCTTGCAACATGCCAGTGATTTTGTTTAAATGACTGGAAATTTTAAAAATGATACACCATCAGCTCCTGCAATCTTTCTGTGCAAATCAAAATTATACTACCGTAGCCTGTTAATTGTGCCCAGTGACTCCTAGGCCACTCCACCCTGAATCAAATATTTCTCTGGCACTGCAACATCAGTGTGATGGGATGTTTCCCCTACCCCTATCCTCTTTGAGCCCTCCGGAGCTGTCTGAAAACCAGTTCCATAGGATTTTCTAGCCCTCTGCAGCAGGTTTTTGTCCTGCATGAGCACTGCTGAGGAAGGTGAAAGTTCCTCTCCTCTTCCAAATAGATTGCACTTCCATCAGTGGAAGTCAAGGACACAGTCTTGTCTTTCAGGCTTTTAATTCTCTTCATTTTCAATTCATCTCATTGGCTAAATTGGCAAAAAAGAGGGTGCTCTATATAGAACACAGTTGGTGAAACTATAAGGAAACAAATGGGATTACATCCGTGTAAGAAATGATCATTTCAATTCCAATCTCTCTCACTCCCCACATTTTTGAAGGAGGAGGAAAAAGAGGCAAAAGTTATTTCCCTTTCTATTTTTAGAAATTGAGATTAGCTTTCCCACCTTTCAAACATCCTGACATTACAGTGGAAAAAGTATGTGTCTCTGTGTGTGGGGGGGGAGGGGGGGGTTGTATTTTTTATTTACACTAAAGCATCGCAGTGCCATGCAATTTAGCTTTTATTCCAGAGATAATAGTCAAGATCAAGCTGGAGAACAACATGCATCAGCTTCCAACCCTGAGGACTATCCGTTTTAAGATTTGTATTTGAATAATTAATGATATTATATTAGACCATTATAACAAACTTAACCTCTATTAGGCTGTTGGAAATGTACATTTTGTTTGTTTCATATGTTTCAATTGAAATTATTGCCAATACTTCCACTAGATTATACTGCTTCTGCCAGAATCTGTAGTCCTTCTCCTTGGAGGGGACTCCATGCTCTGGAGGGCAGGTTTGGAGCAGGTTGGATGACATCCTAGGGAGCTGCCACAGGAGAGGGAGAGAAATGAAGTCCATTTTTGCTGGCATGAGGTACAAAAATACACTACTTTATCGTGGTGATATTTTGGAATCATGTTTTGGGTGGCTCATTCATAACACCTAGTTTTAAAGAAAAATGTATTTGATTTGAGCCAAGCTCTATGTTGTAGACATCATAAATTCTCTGGTATATTGACATGGGACAATTTTTCATTCTAATAAAGCCCAAAATGACCAGCTACTAAGGCCAAAATCCTGTTGCTAGTCCCAACTAGAATGGACTCCTTAAATTGACTGTTAAATTAGGAGTCAACAAAGACGTAAATTCCATTGATTCCAGAGTCCACTCTAGTGCCAATAGATTCTGGCCGCTTTGTTTCTCTCCTGGCATTATGGCATAAGATGATGTTTTGGAAATAACCCAGGTATCTCAGAAATGATATTCATGGTAGAATAATTTGATGCTAATAGCAAAGCATATATGACCAACTGCTTCCTCTGACAACAAAAATAAAACACAAGTCAAATGCTTATTAATGCCTTTAAAAAATATTTATGCCCCAATATTATGCAGGCCTTAGAGCAAAATAGCCATGTGTAAGAATGAAAGCAGGTTTGATTTACAAACTTACTTCCTTTCTCCTCTGAACCATTCAAAAGCTGGGGAAGGAACACCCGCACTTTCGCATCTTATGAATCCAGTCCCTCCAAGCGTCACTCCACTGGATTTTATTTCCTGAATTGTTGGGGAAACTATAAGGAAACATAAATATTTGTTATTCAAACTCAAACTCATTACAAAGCTACACATAACATGTTGCCCAGAGTTAGGTTTATTTCCCTCTTTAAGTGAACAGTATTATTCAAAAGCCTTTTTAAAGGTAAATAATGCTACTTATTTGTCCCTTATATGGTGTTTAATGATCTTCACAGACATTGTATGATTGTTCTCTTCACATAGAGTAGGTGGGGAATCTGTGAACTCTCATATTTTTGACTACAATTCCCACAATGCTATGCCGGATGAGGCAGATTTATGGGACAAAACACCTAGAGGTCCAAAATTTCCTCATCCCTGCTTAATCTCTGTAAATTTGGTCACTCTTATTAATCTCATATTGCAGACAATGTGGGCAACACTGATTAAAAGAGTCAGTTGCCTCAAGCAACAGAAGGAGTATAATGCCAAGGAAAGATTCCAACTTGGACCTGATACTCCCTAAGGGTCAAATTATATGATACAGAAAACATGTTGGAAGCTCAGAGTTCTAGAGGAGCAATTCTGGCAGAATTCTGAGCCTGAGCAAACAAGCTTGATCAGTCACAGACCAAAACAAGCTCCTTTGCAAGTTACAGGGGGTATGAAAAGCTCATTCTGTGACAAGCAGCTTTCAGCAGCTAAGGTGTTCTTGCGTCTCAGTAATGTGCTATCATATAGTTTGACCCTCACCAAGTCAATTATCTGAAATCATACAACAGAGCTTCTGAGATACAAAGCGGTGGCAAAATTTTGACACATACGTTATAATAATCACAAAATACTTAAGCTATATACTATACGACAAGCTTTACTATGTGGGGGGAAAATTGTTATTGGAGGCCAAAGGACAGGCTCTGAAGATCGTAGCACTGGCAAAAAGACCATCTTTTACACAGGTGGCCAGCTGTGGTCCTTCAGATGTTGCTTGAGTGCAACTCTCACAGTTCCTCACCATTGGTGATGTTGCCTATGGTTGATGGGAGTTGTAGTCCGACAGGAATGGGAAGCTAGAGTTGCCTGCCCCTGTTTTACCAGATAGGAAACACAGCATGCACCAGCTAGCAACAGTACTCCAAAAAGGGTTAGTATCCTGTTTGCTTATGTGACTACATAAGGGCAATCATATAGATGCTTCTTCTCGTCCAGCAGATGCTTCCTTGCACAAACAGGCAGGCACTGATTGTAGAATCAGTTGTAGTATTAGTGCTACTGACTACACAAAGGGAACATATAGAGAGGGGGGGAAATGATGTGATTGTCTTTTTTCCTGAAGCGTATTTTGTCTCAGAAAAAAAGCTACCTTTAATAAGGACGTCTACTAAAAGGACCCAAGTATCTAAAGAAATTAGGTACTGCTTTAACAGGGCTGAGAACCCACAGGGCTTACCTATCTTTTCCCCCCATCAGCATGGGGCTATTGCTTAATTAGTTCTAGAATATGATAATTACAGAATGGTTGCTCCTTTTCATATATAATCCACTTTGAAATCATATATTTTCTCAAGACTTTACAGAATATAAAATTGTCTTGCTTTAATTGGTAGCAGTCATAGTAATGTAGGGACCTGCCTTATATCAAGTTGCCCTATTGGTCCATCTTGCTCTGCACTGTCCACAGTATTTGTCATGTTTTCAGGCAAGGGTCTTCCCTACTATTACCTCAGTAAGTCAGAAATTGAACCTGGGATCTTACGTATGCAGAGCACTTGAATTGTCACTGAGCAACACGGAGCAGTACTCATGACTACATTCATTTACTTGCAACAGTTCCACTTTGAAAATTGTCCCAAGTGCTTTTGAAATCCATATCTAGGAAAATGCATTTCCTTGTGAATACCAGGAAGCATCAAGTGGGTCAGAAGATAGGTCAGGTGAAGGCAAATCAAACTGTCATAGGACTCCTTTCCAGATTTTCTTTCCTGCTTAAAATGCAGTGTTATGTGCGAAGCAAAATATCACATGAACAGGACTCAACTTATGAATAAAATTCATTTTTCTAAGCTGCATTCCAGCTGATCTAATGTTGTTACAGATGTGTGAACTTGCAACTCCTGCTCATTCTCATTCTTTCATAATCACCCTCATCTTTCTGCTTGTCATGTAAAGAGGCTATCATCTTTTATGATGCCAGCTATTGCCAGAGGACGAAGATCTGTATTAAAGAACAGATTCATCTAGAAGGCCAGTCAGTGTCATGTGCTGTTTATATGCTTACCGAGATGCCAGCAAATAAATCATTCACAGAGTCTTTAAAAGTCTGTAAGGAGGGCACTGATGCAGCCAAGCAGTCCTTAGAACAATTGCAACCAGGTGTAAACGCTTTTCATGGCAGCTGAATCCAGCTAGTGATCACATATGGGTGGATACGCACAAGGCTCAAGGGGTAACGTTTCATGGTGTGGACACAGCCAATTATTTAGCTACAGTACTTGGTTTTTGTTTTTTTAATCAAATGACAGATGACCTGTAAGACTGACAATCACAAATCTTCAGGCTGAATGGTTGCTTTAGTGTTTGTTATCCTGTAGCCAATAAAGGTTGCTGGCTTTCAATACTGATGAAAGTGAAGAAGATGAAGTTCTGGTCCAAACGAAGATGTCACTTTAATATTGTTTGGGCAGTTTGATTTAAAAATGGCAACCAGGCACTTCCTAACCCATGTATCCATGGTGCTAAAATGATACTGTTGGACATTTGAGTTCTTAATAAACAGGTGCATAATGTACCCTTTTTTTCTGTTTCTACAATTGCACATCTATCAGTTTCTAACTACACTTTTTTTTCCTGACTGCATATTTTGTGACCAACTGCATGCTGAAAACCTCTCCTCCACAAACCTCTGCTTGGAAGCTGCATTTATGAAGCAGTGTAGAACAACTTTGTTCATCTGATTAGCTTCAAAATACACATCACCTGGTCACACAAGGGAAATGTTTTCTAGTTCCACCGATATTTTCCATACCTCTGTTGTACTGTCAGTGTAGTGTGGTGGTTAGAGTGGCCACTAGGAGCAGGGTGATTCGAGTTCAGATCCTCATTTGACCAGCTCTCTCAATGTCCTTGGCAAGTTATCACCTGTAAGCCAGAGCTACTTGGCAAGGTGGTTGTGAGGACAGAATTGTTGATAAAACAATGGATACTATGGGTGTGAGACTTAGGGGATCTAGCGAAGTTCACTGGGCATCGTTCAGTGAGTCAGTCTCACAGGAACACTGTGAAGATAAAAGAAGGATAAAGTAGGGAAAAGGAGTGCAGGCTTCTTGAGGTCATTGATAGCAAAGAGATCCTGTATTAGGTACATAAAATGTAAATCATAAATGAACAAGTAAATAGCTAAATGGTGGAGTTTCCTATATCCTCATATATTAGCATATGAGAAAAGAATATACCAAACTAGGATTTCTTAATCCTAGTGGAAGTATGATTTTACACACTGGCAGATCCAGGTCCATATGTCCATCTATTATTTAGATAGTACATACAGAGCAACTGTACATTTTGCAGCTCTTGGCCATAGCATGTGATTCCATAGTGCATTCTGCCTTTCCCCACATGCTTTCAAAAACTGTGAGGTCTGATTTAAAAAAATCCGTTTTCAAGCTTCACTTCAGACTTCACAGGCATTCTGGGGAGAAAAGTTCATGTGGTTCATAAATAGCAGATCTATTTTGGAAATGTGGTAGAAATTACTAGAATTTTATGATGCAGAACTGTTTGCAGGCTGGGAAGAGCTAATATTGACTATTTACTTTAATGGTGAGTCATCAAAGACTCACATAGGAAATGACTTTAGGAGAGTAGCTATATTTCCAGCTAGATTATTGATAATATGCCGGGCAAGCAATCCGGAGTCCCTGTTGCATCTACTGATATAGAAGACTTGAAATACTTCTGGATTAAATTATATCTGAGAATCTTTGCAGCCTTGTGGTTATATTTCTGCTTCATTAAGAGCCTTAAAATGAGCTAAAACGTTCTTTTACTAGCCCAGTTATGACATACCTTTCTCTCTGTTTTAAGGGTCAGCTCCTTTGGGGGCTGGCACAAACAACAAAGAAGTGCTGAAACAAAGATGGACAGCATTTCCCCTACAGTAGGGCCTTTGTCCCATCTGAAAAGAGGAGAAAAAACTAAGCACGTGAAGAAGGAAAACCGGAAGTGGACATTTTCCCACTTCCTCACTTGTTAAATTTCTGAGTAGGATGCAGCTGCCAAATAGGCTAACATTTTTTAACACCACCTGTTAATGGTTATTTGTTATAAGAGGAAGCAGAAGTATATAGCAGGTGATTCACTAAGCACTGTTGTTTTCCTATGTACACATCAGATCCAAGAAGAGTTGAAAAACTCTAAGGGATGTTTAGCTTAGATTTGTAGGTTGCAGGTTGAGAGGAAAGTTTCCTCATGTCACCTGCTGATATGACCCTGGTGGCAGAAGCATCTGTGCTTTGTTTTTTGGCACTGTTTTTTTTTCCCCAGAGAAGTTGCTCGCTACCCAGAAGATGCCAAACTGGGAGCAGAAAGCATTATTTTTCACCCCTGCCCAAAATCCCACAGGGTATCCTCCTAAAGCAAAATCAAGCTGAGGTCAGGAAGAGAAAGCAGTACCTTTTGATGTCAACCTGGTGTCCTTTGATGTCAGTCTGATGTCCAATTTAGGATTTAACTAGATTATGTAGTTAGTACATCATTAGAAGTGGAGCTTCCTTAATGTGAGACTGGAAGCGAGATACCAGCTGTTCTTGCTGGAGTGCCGTCTCGTCCCCTCTCCACAGAGAATGGGGTACAAACCTCATCTATGGCCTGCCCCTAAAAGACAGAGGCTACAGAAACAGACCCTGTGTCTATGGACAAGGAACTACAAAGGTTGACGGTTGGGGAAAGCAGTAAAATGATGGCGGAAAAAGAGTGAAAACCCCGGGTAGAAGTAGAGGCGGGGTTTGCAGATATAAAAGAGAAGGAAGAGGAACTGCCTCCAGGTTGGGAGTGGATA